GATTTTATTAAAAAAATTAAAATTTTAAAAAAGTTTGCAGGCAAATTTGCCTGCAATACAAATTAAGAGATAATTGTGTTTGAGTTTGGTATTACAAGTTTGAATTTGGGTTTGGGTTTGAAATTAGCAAAATTTGCTGTTTGAGTTTGATTTGAGTTTGAAGTTTAATCAAATATGAATCAAACTTTAGAGCTCTATTTATTAGTAAAATTATAAGTAATTTCAGTCTAATTTTTTTGATAGTTGCTCTTAGTTAATCAAAATTAAGGATCTGTTATACATTTTTTATGTGGTATCTAGGTTCTGATAACCCAGAATATATAACCATTTATGCATCTTTTACAACTCATAACTCAAACTATCTATGCAGACTAGGCAATCTAGCTACAATCTACAAAATTTATCAAACCTGCAGTAATGCAAGATAAAAGAATATATTTAAGAGAAGTTTTTTTACCTTTTTGAAAAACTTCTTTCGAATTTATTATAATAAATTTTATATTTAAATCTAAGTTAATAAAATCTATCAAACACTTAATCATTTAATCTATCTAATTTCTTTTAAATACTGTCTTTTAACCTAATTCTTGATATTTTTAATAAAATATCTGGAATTTACATAACAATACCAAGATCTTGTAGTTAATAAAGTTTACAAAGCATTAGTATATGACCAAAAAAGTATATATTAAATTGATAACTTTATTTGTTTTTTCATTAAGCTCAAAAGACAAAGCAACAATCTACAAAAAAAAAGTATATTACAACTTAATAAAAAAACTTTAATATAAAAGCATTTTGTAATATATCTTATAAAAATAAAATAAATAACTACATAAATAATTTCAGTTACTCAAATAAAAAAATAAAAAAATAGTTAAGCTGTAATATTGTATAAGCTGACAACTATAAAAAGAATAGTAGATTTGCTTAATGATATCAAAAATAAAGGTCTTAAAACTTATCAATAAATAATCATATTTTAAAAAGATATGTTTTTTTCAAAATAATATAAGAGTAATATCTATTAATTCTCAAACATTACAGTTCTTATAAATTATATTTGCAAAAATATGCTATATACAGTAAATGTCACAAATATCTACACTTTTTTAATATATAATGCATTATAATTACAATATATAAAATGTAACAATTCTATTTATTAGATAACAATTTGATTTTATTTTGTTTGTTTTTTTGTGAAGTAAATTTGATAAAATTTGCTTTATAATACTGAGGTTTCAAAATCCTCTTAGTGTGAAAAGTATTGCTGAATGGATTTGAATTCTTGTTAAAACATGATAATGCTTCAGCCTTGTAAACAATATTTTCCTATATTTCAAGTAGTTAATAAATATCGCAAATGATGCTGAAATCAGATGATGCTAAAATTTATGTGATCACATGATAATTTGTATTATTTATTTCTTGGGAGCTTAAAAATTATAACAGAGGTTTCCGATAATCATAGGATACAGATGGCCCTTTGGGATATCTGCATTATATAATCATTGTGAAGTCCTCTGTTGTAATTTTAAACTTCTCACAGGAAATAAATGAATAATCTCCTGCCTTACGTTATTTATGACCACCTTCATTATAGTTTTCACATGGCTGAAAACTTCCCACAAAAGATTCCCGAGCATGTGAAAAATTATAATGAAGGTGGTCATAAATAACAAATAGTAAGACAGGAAATTACTACTATTATATAGTAAAAATTAAAAAATATTTTTAAACTAGATTTAGTGTTATATAAACCTACTTTCATGTTCTAACAAAAGTTGTTCTTCAGATTGCGACAATTCTAATGATAATAAAATCATCAAAAATGACCTACTAGATTGTCTGCAATAGTTCTTCAAAGTTTTAAACCATTTGTTTACATGATTTGCAGCGATTTAAACTTTGAAGAACTATTGCAGAAGATCTAGTGAGTCTTTTTTAATGATTTTACTATCATTAGAATAGTGCCAATCTAAAGAACAACTTTTGTTAGTACATGAAAGTAGGTTAACATAACACTAAATCTAGTTATAATATAATTTTTAATTTTTCCTATATAATAGCGGAGATCATCATGTAGTCACGTGAATTTCAGCTTCATCCGATTTCAGCATCATCCCCGACATTTATTATAATAACTCCAATGCATTCTTAACAATGATTTAAAATAAGGAAAATAAAAGGACTAATTTATATAAATACGCGACTTAATTAAATGTAATAAGAATTTGATAATTATACACTTTAAGAAAATATCTTAGCATTGAAACATTACCAGTTAGGCCATGCAAAGTTAATTTTCTGGTTCATATCATTAAACTTCTGAAAGACCCGGCCACCCGGCTTTTTTTTCAGAAGACTTTGCTTCGCCTAATATAATTAAGAATTTCATTCTTTTACTTGAATTAACCTCCACCGCTACCACCACTACCACCGCTGCCGCCGCCACCGTTGCAACAATTGCCACCACTATAGACGTCACAGGAAGATTTTCTGGAGAGTTCGGAGCAACATATGCTTCTTTATATTCCCTGGACCATAAACTCTCGGTTTCAACATAGCCATCATTCAATGTCTTCTTCGGAATAGTATCACTGTGATTAACTATCCGTAAAAGATACTTTCTATTCCATGCGCGATAATTTTGTCCATGTAAGATATGCGTATGCCACCCAAGATCGATATCTAATGTCGGAACGAGTGGAATATTTGGTTTATCATTCATGAGATGCAAAAATTTACAATACCCAATGATTGCATCATTCTGGACGGAAACCTGATTAATCCATTGACTTATTTGGATATTAACTACCATTTTGTTTGCGAAATTACGTTGTCGTAAGACTGCAGATTAGGATGGTAAAGTCCAGTCCTGGTCCAGTCCTGGTCCTATAACCCGTAAGTCTTACTACATGGACTTACGGACTAAGTTTTTATGAACTAGTCCTAGAACTTGAGTTAACCTAAGTCCAGTTCAAGACCTAGTCCTAGA